TGGCTTAATTTAAATCTTTTTTGGGATAATTTCACTAAACAAGTCATGGTAATTACAGCATGCATAATAAAAGTTGTAACTTCCGTCATGACATTTGCAACTCAATTATTTGTACCCCAAATTACATTTACTTGGACCCAAATTTCACTACACACGTAATGAGATTAACAACACTCGTAATGAAAGTGATAACTTCCGTATTGCCATTTGCAACTCATTTATTTCAAACCCAAGTAGCATATATTTGGAGCCAATTTCACTACTCTAGTAATGATAATAACAACATTTGTAATGTTAATTACAATTTTTGTAATGAGAGTTACCATCTCGCTATTGCTATTTGCGACTCGTTTATTTCAAACACAAGTAATATGTATTTGGAGCTAATTTCACTATCCCAATAATGACAATGACAACATTTATAACGTGAATTACAACTTTTGTGATGAGAGTTATCATTTCGCTATTACCATTTGCAACTAGTTAATGTGAAATGAACTTAACATGTATTTGGAGCCAATTTCACTATCCTAATAATGACAATGACAACATTTGTAATGTTAATTATAACTTTCTTAATAAGAGTTACCATCTCGCTATTGCCATTTACAACTCGTTTTTTTCAAACCCAAGTAACATGTATTTGGAGCCAATTTCACTATCTTGATAATGATAATGACAACATTTGTAATGTGAATTACAACTTTTGTAATAAGAGTTACTATCTCACTATTGCCATTTGCAACTCATTTCTTTCAAACCCAAGTAACATATGTTTTTAGCCAATTTCACTATCCCGATAATGATAATAACAATATTTGTAATGTGAATAATAACATTTGTAATCAAATTAACCACTCTGGTCATGCCCATTGGCAACTTCCACCATCTCCCTTGGGAGAATTAAACAAATAGTAAAATGTGTTGACAAAATAGCATACAAGTACACCTGAAGAACATCATAATATGTTTACATTAACATTCAGACTTTACTACATATGTAATGGAATTGACTACTGAAGTGTCAATATTTACCAAAAACCAGTACATTTATGACAGAAGCCACATAACTTATATTCAAATGACAAGTTAACATTAAGATTAAACTACCACCTAATGTTTCCTTGTCATTTAAATTACAAAACATATCCTATCCAGTTAACATTATTTACAAAAAGGATAACCTACCTACTAACCATTCTCCCAAAAAAATTAAAAAGGGTTCAAAAGTTATTCCATTCACACCAAAAAATTACTCCTCAATGTTAGATCTAATGTTAGATGTCACTAAAGCTTGCTAACCTGCAGCAAAGAAGCACAAATCAATATTTTAGTTTCACAATAATCAATTTCATTTACCTTCTGAAACATCCAAAAGACACACACACCCACTTACTCCATTGACAATTTAAATATAGGATTTTACAATTTCACTAATGAATTTAACAACATTGACCACCTCATGCTTACTGTTTGCCACCATTTTTCCATTTCCGATGCATCACTCTCTCATCCTGGTCAAATTTTTCATCTAAACCCTCTACACTCACAAACCCATTCCCATTCGAGCATGCAGCAGTAAAGCAAGTTAAGAAATCAGGCGATACTAGAATTTTAACAGAAAAATTGCTTATTTTTTTTTCTCTTTCTAGATTTTGACTCTTGCTCCAGCTTCGTCTTCTCATCTCTCTCTCTCTCTCTCTCTCTTCTGGTATATTATGTGTTTTCTTTTAGTTCATATCTTCAGAGAGGTTCAGGAGTATTTTAGTCTTTCTATTGAATTGTTAAAATTCCAGATTGATACCTCATGTCCATTTAGTCATTTCAGTTATTTGTATGTCTATTTTGTCATTTCAAATTTAAGCAATAATTTTCTGGTCATTTTTCCTATCCAATAACATGGATGCAAGTCAAACAATAAATGTTCGGTATTAAGCATTCAGCGCCCATATATTTGTAAAAGAAAATATTTATATCAGTCAATCATAAAACCCATAGCTGGCTCTAATTCCAAGTTCATGCCAACTCATCCAATCTAATTATTTTATAGTTTCGAAACATAAAATTACAAGTAGCTGGCCCACGCTCATGTGAATCCAAACTCGGCATCAGGAAGTGTTCTAAACTTTATACCGAACATTTGGTGGACCCACACGCTTCTTTTGTCACTTTCAGACTCCACACCCTTTTCTTTTTTACTCCTCCGGTCCTTAATGTAAGACCCATTTAATTAATTTAATTAGATTAAGAAAGTTAGGTAAGTTAGTTAATTATAAGAAAAGTGACACATTTTTCCTAAAACACCATAATCATCTTTCTTAATACCCCATCTCCCTCTTCTACTTGATTATGGTTGAGGGAGTATTCATAGGGGTAATTTAGAAAAAATTGATAAATATGAGAAATGGGTCTTATATTTAGGACCAAAATCAACTCAAGAATTGGGTCCTATATTAAGGACCGGAGGAGTATCTTTTTTTCAAAAGGTGTGCGGGGGTATAAAGCCAACCTTTTTTTTGGACATTTAAACAATCTTTTCATGAACAAGTGTACGGATCAGAAGTTATTTTCATTTAATTATTTTTTGTTTAAACTAATACATTGATTTAGTACACTAGATCACCTGCTAATTATGCCAGTTGTATTAATTTCCACAATTAAAAGCATGACGTTCAATATATGTGAAGAACATCATATCAATAACATGCGTCTTTGCCGAAGTGGGCCCTCTCCATTTGGTCCCTTAAAAAGATTTCCCATGAGCGTAGCCCGATCTTTTGGGCCATTTGGGCACATGGCCCCATCACAAGACCACATTATTGATCATATGGGGAGTATTCCAACACTTGGGAATATGGATTATATTGAAACTAGCGCTGGTCTTCATGGCTTGAATGGTTGTACCATAAAGCATTAGAAGCACACAAAATAATTTTAGTGTCTCCCCCACTAATATATACAGAATCCTGCTCATTAAATAGTATAAGTATTTATTAAATTATAGAGATTAATATTTTAAATAAAATAAAATTTATAGACCAAAATAAAAATAAAGACAAAATTTTAAGAGACCAAAAATTGTAGTAATCCTATTACTTAAATATTTCTAAAAATTCATATAAAATCTCATATCACTTTGGCAAAAATATATCTTCAACCCGATAACTTTTAACAAGGTTTGATTTTGATCTTTTAATTTTATAAAGTTCTTTTTTTAGTCTTTTAATTCTAAAACTATTAACGAAAAATTGATATTTAAATTTCAAACGTTAATAAAACATTATTAAATATAATGTTGCTAAAAATGACTTTTATTACAAATTAAAATTGGCATAAGAGTCCAGTATTATAATGTAATTTATGTTTGTACTGGCGTTTGTTAACAAAAATCAGCAAGACGAAATGAAATTTATTTGGATATATTTGAAAAGCACATTAGATGTAAAATGAATGAAAATACATGTGTTTTATATTAAAATTAAAATTATATAAAAATGAAAAGAGTGAATATATTATTGAAAAAAAATGTAAATATTAAAACACTTAATTAGATATATTTAACAGATATATATAAATTACAAATTATGGTAATACTATTTTTAACTAATTTATATTATATAACCAGATAATTATAAAAAAGGTACAAAAAATGTGTGTAGATAGATATAGAATTAATGCGGGAAACGGTGGTTGATTGGGAGTGGCATGATAATTTGTTTCGAAAGGAGAAAAGTGAGGGAAAAGACGAGAGGAAAATGACAAAAGCATAAAGCTAATATTCTCCGCCTGATGCACCAAGGAAAAACTACAATCTCCTAAGCGCAATGTTTTCAACACATCAACAAGAAAATAGTTAGGGAAAATGACTCGAAAAAAATCTTGAACATGCTAAATCTCCATAAAGTACTTAAAATCAATACATTCTTATAAGGAACCGAATCAAAAATGGGATTTAAAATTCAAGCAAAAATATGAAAACACCTCATTCGTAGAAAGAAAAGAGTCAAGAATCCCTCTCATTAGAGATTGACCATTGTCGGCACCACAACTCCACGCTGGAATGAGGAATGTTCATGAGCCGAGAGGAATATTTTGGAGCAAGTGGTGAAGATAGGATTTAATCTCACACCCACTTGCATCCTAAAATTAAAGGTGGTCCGTACATAATTTATAACATTAATATAAATAGAATACAATGATGGAAAAAAACAAAACAAAAAAACACATTTTAGAGGTTATTATAGTCTCCTTTAATTTTTTGTTTTTATTTTTTAGTGGCTAACTTTGCTGTGTTAGTATCATTAGCTCCTGTATAGGAGTTAAAGACACTAATAGAATAAAATTAAAAGATTTAACTAATAAAGAAAAAATTATGGCTACCAAATTAAATGGTTTTCACAGGAAAAAAAGTAAAATATAAAATACTGAGTATTTAGCACTTCTATCTATGTAGAAGAAAATAGTTTTCTCTATTTCTCCAAATTTTAACCTTACTACCACTTTGTATTCATATCATTCAATTATACAATCTATAGCAAGTTCTGATTCAAAATTTATGCCAAGGCATCCAATCTAATTATTTACAATCACGAAGCATGCAGCAATATTTTTTTTTTTTTTGGACTCAAGAAATACTATCTATTCCAAAGAAAGAGTCTACGCAAGGTTAACCAATTCCTTGCTTACAATGCTCAGCATCAAAAGAAAGCAAACTTGAAAAAAGGGATGGGGGACACAAATCCCAACCTATAGGGCACATCCCTTTGCAACCAGCTTTGGCTAACCAATCTGCAGCCAAATTACAAGTCCTAGGAGCAAACTTTAAAGTAAAAGAACAGTGGTTTTGAAACAGAAATCGTAAATCAGAAACCAAAATTGCAGCATGCCAATCAGGACACGGGGAGCCATCTATAACATCATTCACTAGAGGTAAGCAGTCAGACTCAACAGTCACTCGGCCTAGATCTCATCTTTCACTTTAAACACTGCTTCATGGAGAGCTACGGCTTCAGCATGGAAAGCCGATCAAGATTTGCAACCAAAGTCCACCATCCTTCCCTCTGAGTCACGCAAGACATAACCTGTTCCACCTTTGCCAGTAGCTGCATTAAAAGCACCATCAGTATTTAGTTTAAGGGAATCATTGTTAGGGGAGACCCAAAATTTAGGTGAAACATCTTGAGATCTGCTAGGTTCTTGATCTTTAAAGAAATTCTTAGCAGCCCAGAACTCATTCACACTACACATAACAGAATTAATAAGCCAAATACAATCAGGAGGCCTAAATTCAAAGATTTGGGTACATCTTGCCTTCCAAATATACCAGCACATATAGGCCACAACAGATTGAGCAAACTCATCATGCTTGAGATTTATTAAAGTTTGAAGCAACCAGACTTCAAAACTAGAAACATTTAACTCATGCACCTTCAAACACAGAGGAGAAGCAAACCAAACCCGCTTTACCCAATCACAAAGCAAAAGGCAGTGTTCAACCGTTTCAATATAAGAATCACATCGTACACAAAATGGTGTGACTCCACACCGCCTCCGCCAAAGTGCTCCTTTCGTTGGAATAGCTTTAGAGCAAGCTTTCCAAAGAAAGTGTCTCACTTTAGGTTGAACTTTTAGAGACCAAATAAGAGACCAAAGGTGCTTATCTAGAGGCATTGAAGAATTGGGCCTTGGGCTTGTAGTTAAGCTATCAACTCTCTGCAGCCACTGGTATCCATTTTTAACAGAATACCTACCATTAGCATTTCTAAGCCAAATCAGTTTATCATGAAAACTAAAGTGAGGCAAATCAATTGCACAAATAGAATCTACAACATGCCTGGGAAGATCCATGTTATCAAGACTCCACTTACCATTCTCAATGAGACTAGAAACAGTAAGGTTTTTAAATTCTATAGGGATTTGCATTTCAGGAAGACAAAAACCAGGTAAAGCAGAAACCCAAGGGTCTTCCCAAACATTAATACAAATACTATCCCCTACCTGCCAAAGCACATTGTCTTGCAACACTCTCCTTCCTTCGAGAAGACTGGTCCAAGCCCATGAAGCTCTAGAGCCTTTACCAGCCTTCCAAAAAGAAGAATTAGGAAAATATATGCCTTTAAGAATCTTAACCCAAAACTCTGTTGGTTCTGTCATGATTCTCCAACATTGCTTGGCCAGAAGAGCCAAATTAAAGTTTTGAAGCTCTTTGAAACCCATACCCCCATCTTGCTTACTCTTGATTAAGTGACTCCAAGCCTTCCAATGGATTTTTCGATTAGTCTCATCTCCACCCCACCAAAAATGAGCAATAATGCTATTCAAATCAATGCAAGACTGTTTGGGGTAAAGAAAACAAGACATAGAGTAAGTAGGAATGGAATTAGCAACAGATTTAATTAAAGTTTCTCTACCAGCTTGTGATAAGAACTTCTTATTCCATCCTAGAACCTTCTTTCTTACCTTATCCCTGACAAAAGCCAAAGCCTCTACCTTTGATCTTCCCCATAAAACAGGAAGGCCTAGGTAACAACCAGGAGAATCAGCAACAGGAATTCTTAAAGAGTTACTAATCATACTACTCACTTCAACCGGAGTATTCGGGGACACAAAAACACAAGATTTTTCAAAATTAACCCGCTGCCCAGAGGCCAGACAATAATCATCAAGGAGGCTAGCAAAAACATCACAATTTTTCTTGGTAGCTCTGAAGAAAAATACCGAATCATCCGCAAAAAGACAATGAGAAAGCACAGGACAGGCATTTGCAAGTTTAATACCCTGTAAATCACCTCTGTTAACATGTTCACTAATCATTCTAGATAACACATCAGCCACAATGATAAAGAGATAAGGAGAAATAGGATCTCCTTGTCTTAGGCCACACTTTGGGGTTAGCTTACTGATTGTTTTTCCTTCCAATTTCAAATTAAAGCTCACAGAAGAAATGCATTTCATAACTTGCCTAACCCACACTGGATGAAAATTCATTTTATAAAGCACAGCCTCCAAAAAATCCCAATCAACTCTATCATAAGCTTTGTTCATATCAAGTTTCACAGCAAACTCAAAAACTTTGCCAGACCTATTCTTGAGAAAATGAAAGGCCTCATGAACAACAAAAATATTATCTTGAATCATCCTTCTAGGAACAAAAGCACGCTGTTGTTCTGAAATTACTTTTTTTAACACAGGTTTAACTCTATTAGCAAGTAGCTTTGAGAAAACTTTATAACTGAAATTGCACAAGCTGATAGGTCTAAAATGTCCCACAGACTCAGGGGAATCAATCTTAGGAATTAGGACCAGATTAGTAGAATTCAAATTCAAAAGAGCACCATCATTTTCAAATAAGTCTCTTACCATTGTGTAAATTTGAGGGCCAACAACATCCCAAGAATGGTGATAAAAAAGTCCAGGGAAACCATCAAGACCTGGAGCCTTTAAGCTACCCAAATCAAAGGCAGCCCTCTTTATTTCCTCATCCAAAATAGGAGCAGCAAGACAAATATTATCAGAATCAGAGACTACAGGGTCCACATATGACAGAACAGAATTGAAATTTCGAGGTTTAGAACCAGCAAAAAGATCAGCATAAAAATTTGAAAAACAGGAAGTAATCTCAGCATGATCATCAATCCAAATTCCAGCATCATTTTTCAAGCAAACCACACGATTTCTCCTTCTATGCTGGGCTGTTATATTATGAAAGAAATGAGAATTTTCATCACCCCAACTTAACCAATTAATTCTTGATCTTTGGTACCAGTATTTTTCTTCCTTTACCCAAACCTCCTCAATCTTATTCGCAATCTCTCTAGCCTTAATGGCTGAATCTTCATTCCAAACCCCTTTATAACAATTCCTAAATTCTTCCATAAGAGACCCCAGAAGTTTCTGGTTATTAGGAAATTCAATCTTGCTCCAATTTAAAAGAACATTTTTAACTTTGTTTAGATTAGAGGTGAAAGCAGCAACTGTACCCCCACCATCCCCTATATTTCTGTCCCAAGTTTGGTCAATAATCCCACTATAATCTTTATGATCAACCCAGTTAAGTTCAAACTGAAATTCTTTAAGACATCTTATCCCCAAGAAGTTAGGATTAATGAGAATAGGGGAATGGTCTGAACCTACAGGTTCTAAATTACATACCTGGGCGTTTTGATGTTTTTCCCTCCATGCAGTGTTGCAAACAGCACGATCAAGTCGCTCTTTTACATGGGCCTCGTTGACTCTTTTATTTGACCAAGTGAACTCCATGCCTTTAGATCCCAGATCCACCATATTGCATTGAATCATAAAGTGTTGGAACTCAGCCAGAGAATTCAACCCTCTAGTGTTTCCCCCTTCTTTCTCAAAATCAAACATTAGATCATTAAAATCACCACAGCAAAGCCATGGCACTGCTTCACCTGGGTCCAGACCCCTCAATCTTCTCCACCAACTACCTCGGTCTTGTTTCCTAGGAGGCCCATAGATTAGAGTTAAGAATCCAGAATCCATTTCCAAACCTTTTACTACCTTCAAATGGACTATATTCTTGTCAGCTTTAATAAGTTGCAGCTGAATATCATCATTCCACCAAACAGCTAGACCACCCCCAATTCGAATCGGCTCAACATACACTTTATTCTGAAAGTCCAGTCTTCTACGCCATCTCTCTACCTTATCCATCTTGACCCTAGTCTCCATGAGGAAAACTAGAGTAGGTCTGTGCTTGTTATACAGAAACCTTAAGTTTCTGCCTGTCAGGGGAGACCCCAACCCCTGACAGTTCCAGCATAAAAGACTCATGGCGACTTGGTGGTCATTAGAGGCTGACCACCAAGCCCTTCAACAGAAGAACCACAGCATGAATCTTGTTTGTCTAAACCTTCAAAAATATTTGATACTGTAAAACCCACAACCGATACCTCCACCAGATTACTATCAGTAGTCATTGAGAGTTTCTTACCTTTCCTCTTCTTTTTCAGCACAGGAGAGCTCTTTCCCAGCACAAAAGGACTTTCATTCTCCTTATTGTGAGACCTTTCCGCAGCTTTCTCGAACTTGACTTCATTCCCTACTTTAGCTTTCTTTGATTTCGATGTTTCCCACTATTCATCAAGAGCTCGCTTTAAGCTTACCTTTTTCATCTCTTGAACCAAGGTGCCTTCATAGGTAATTTGCAACAGCCCTCGAGTTGGTAAGTCATATCCTCCTTCCTCACTTTCGTCTGGAAGTTCTACAATATATGGTGCTGTTGTATCTGATGCACTTACAGCCATCTCATTAGTAGGTCTCGATGAGTTATTACTCTCCTTTAAGCCCAGCCCATTAGTAGTATAATCCTTTGTGACAGCAACTGGACTTGACTCATTAATAGGCCCATCTAAACTATCAGGCTCATTTATCTCCAGAGGCCCTCTCTTAAATGTAATTTTTCGACACACTTTTGGGTTGGGCTCTACTTTCTGTTTACCTTTACAACTCATAAGCCCCTGCCCATTTGACTTTAGTGGGCTTGTGACCTCATTCATTTCCCAATCCTTAGCAAGCCCAATATCACACTCAATTCGAGCCTCAGCAGATTTTTCCTCTGGACTGTTCACACTTCCCACACCCTCTGGCCACGTATTCCAAAGAAATGACGGTAACTTCTCTCTACGTGAGAGCGTTCCTTCGCTCCCTTCAGTGAGCGCGACCCATCGCTCCGCCGCGTGAGCGCCTTCGGCTACCTCTTTCTTTCCCTCCACCACTTCTCTTCTTCTTCGTCTATTTTTTCCCTTGTGCCTTTCTGGTTTAATCGAAGGATTACCTGATAGGTGCTCTGTTCTGTTTGGCCCCAAGTCTTTTTGCTGTTTGGTTACAAACTACCTGATTTAATGGAAGTCAAAATGGAAGAGCGGAATGAATGCGATCTTGATTGGGAGGATGAAGATTGTAGGAAGGGTGGTTTCTCGCTGGTTGGGAAGCTAGTATCACCGAAGCAAGTGAACGTTCCAACCTTCCGTAAATTGATTCTGTGAATTTGGCATTTGAAAGGTAAAGTTGAAATTAGTGATTCTAAGGAGAATGCCTTTGTCTTTCATTTTAATATTAAGGATGACTATGATAGAATCTTGAGAGATAGTCCTTGGGCATTTGATGGTTGTTTGCTAAATTTGCGTCCATGGACTCCGTTGCTGACTATTGGTGAGGTTCTGATGAGTAAGTGCCTATACTGGGTTCAAAGTCATAATATTCCAAAGGCAGCAATGACAAAGAAAAACATCGTTACGATGGGAAACAAGATTGGGGAGGTTGTGTGCTTCGAAGACCCGCGGCCAGAGGACTGCCATATTCGAAGTTATGTTCGTGTTCGAATAGAGGTTGATCTGAATAAGCCTCTAGTTGCTGGGTTTTGGGTGACTCGTCCTTATAAACTTTCCAAAGTCTGGGCATACACCAGGTTTGAAAAGCTTCAAAACTTCTGTTATAATTGTGGAAGGGTTGGACATGAATACAGAAGTTGTGTTCATCCTAAAGTTATGTCAGAGGAGGATCCTTCTTTGCCTATGTATACGGCGGACTTAAGGGTAAATCCAGTGCGAGCTTTGGCACCGGTGATCATGATACGTGAAGGAGAATGTGATTCAGTGCAAATGGGGACGGCGCGTGAATCGTCCTCATCAAAGAAGAGCGTGGAAGATGTTGATGTGCATATGAATAATGAGGACGGTTATGGTGGTAACGGCTCACAGGTTGCTATTAATAAAGAAAAAATTATGGCTACCAAATTAAATGGTTTTCACAGGAAAAAAAGTAAAATATAAAATACTGAGTATTTAGTACTTCTATCTATGTAGAAGAAAATAGTTTTCTCTATTTCTCCAAATTTTAACCTTACTACCACTTTGTATTCATATCATTCAATTATACAATCTATAGCAAGTTCTGATTCAAAATTTATGCCAAGGCATCCACTACAAGGAATTGTAGAAGTAGCAGCGGAACCTTTCTAGCGGTTAAACAAAACCGCTAGAAATTTCAGATATTTCTAGCGGTTCCTATAAAAACCGCTGCAAAATACAGACGGTTTGACCATTAAACGCACATTTCTAGCGGTTACCCCCTAACCGCTAGAAAATTAGAGCTAGAAAACTCCCCGGGCTTTGGCGGGAACTTGGCGCCAAATTTGTAGCGTTTACTTTCTAGCGGTTCAGGCTAATAAACCGCTAGACACCGAAAAATTCTAGCGGTTGATGCATGAAGCGCTAGAAATTTTTTTCATTCCCCGAGGAGTTTAGAAATTTCTAGCGGTTCGGTCCTTAACCGCTAGAGATTTCTAGCGGTTCTGGACCGAACCGCTAGAAAGTCTGGCGGTTCGGTCCTGAACCGCCAGACTTTCTAGCGGTTCTAGGCCTGAACCGCTAGCAATTTCTAGCAGTTAGGCTAGAACTGCTAGAAATTCTAGCGGATCAGTCCTGAACCGCCAGCATTTCTAGCGGTTCAAGGCCGAACCGCTAGAAACTGCTAGCGGTTCAGGCCTAGAACCGCTAGAAAGTTCCCAACGGTCATATGACCGTTGGGAATGTCTAGCGGTTAGGCACAAAACCGCTAGAAATTTCTAGCGGTTTTGTGCCTAACCGCTAGAAAGTCTCGGTCTATATATACCCCCCCACACTCTCACTTCTTCAATCGTTCTGGAAGCGAAGCTCTGTTGAATTTTCTTCACAAACATATTCGAGTTCTAATTCAGTTGCAGATCCTTATTTTCAGGTAAAAATAGTAATTTATTGATAAATAATTTTTATTTTATGTTTTATTTTATTAATTTTATTATGTTATAGCTTATAAATTAATTTTTTTTATTTCATTTATAAATAATTACTATTTGTTGTTATTAGGATGCCTCGTCGACACGGGAAAGACCCAGTTGATCCTGAGAGAGCTGGACCCAGTGAGGTTCATCATGATGCTGATGAGCCATTTCCCAACATTCATGACTACGATCTGAGCGAGGAGGATATCCTCAGTTTTATGGAGCAGGATGGTGTTGAGCGGACTGAGGAGGCTCATTTTACTGGGGATGAGCAACCCCATGCTGATGCTGCTGACGAGGAGGAGGAGGAGGAGGAGCAGGATCAGGGGAATGAGTATCCCCAGGCTGCACAGCGTCCTGCTCCGAGACGTCAGGCTGGTTATGAGGTGGAATTTGTCGGTAAGTATTTATTTAACTTTTTAAAGTTTTGATCAGTATTTAATTTATATAGAAATTATATTAATTTATTGATATATAATTTATTTCTTAATTAAATTTTGCAGACACTGAGGGGAACAGGTCCTATCGGAGGCTGACAGCCAGAGAGCTGTCTATGATGACGGGCGGACGAGTGGTTGTGCCGCTCAATGAGTTGGGCCAACCGACGAAGAAAGGTGGCCAGTTGTACAACAAGTACGTGCGCCTCCTTGGTCAGCAGTGGACGCTGTTCCCCATCTATGTGCAGGACTGGAAGAAGATCACCTCAGACAAGAAGCAGCAAGGCTGGGAAATAATGAAGGTAATATAAAATTGTTATTTATAATTTTTTTTAATTTAAATAAATGATTATATATTTTGTTTTCAAATAATTTAATTGTTTGATTATAATTTTTTATTTATTTAATTTGTTTGTTATTTATAATATTTTTAAAAGTAGTTAAATGAATATATATTTTTAATTTAAATTATTTAAAAGTAGTTAAATGAAAATAATTTGTTATTGATTTCATTAATTTATTACTTATAATAATTTTAAATTTAGTTGAGTAAAAATATTTTTTCATTTAAATTACTTAATTGTTTAATTATTATTAAACTTTGATTAATTTATATTTTATTTATAATATTGTTAAATTAGTTAAAAACTAATTATTTGTTTTTTATTATTGAAATTGCTTAATTATTTGTTTATAATTTGTTATTTAGTTAATTTATTATTTTAATCATAGAGTAAATTTATTCTGGGGGAGGAGTTGAGGGCTGACACGATCAAGAGGCTTGGGATGGCATGGAAGAACAGGAGGGCCGACCTGTGGAGGGAGAAGAAAGGTGACGGGACGAGGCCCCTCCAGGAGATACTGGCAGATGTACCTGGTGGAGTCCCGGACCAAGACTGGTCCACTTACGTCTATTTTAGGATGACGGCTGACCAGATGGTATGATAATATTGTATTAATTATAATTTCTTTATTTTTTATCCGACTTGACTCATTTAATTTAATTTTTTTACATTTTGCTTCAGGCTCTTTCTAGGAGAAATGCTAGGAGCGTCAGGCATCAGACGATACGTCATAGGGCTGGATCCAGGAGCTTTGCGATCACTTATGACGAGATTGTGAGTACTTGAAATAAATTTATTAAATATGTAGATGTATTTAATTTGTAACTAATTATTTCTTTGATTTCATTTACAGATAGAAAAGACGCAGCAGGAGCGGGGATACACGCCCACTTATGGCGAGATGTGGCCGATGGTGTATAGACCCCGAGACGGGCGTGCGTCGGATGAGGTTGAGGAGATAGCGGTAAGTAATAAATTAAATATTAATATAATATCACAGTGTAGATATCATTATATTATAATTAACTTCTTTATATTAATTTTGGTAGGCACGGATGACTCAGGTCGATTCGAGTTGCGTGAGTCTCAGGGGTCTGCCTTGGATCCCACCGCCTCACTTTTAGCGGGTCGTGGCCGGCCGCAGCACCCTGGTCGAGTTAGCGGGCTTGGACTTGGACCTACACCGACTAGGTTGCCCCGCTCAAGTGGCGCTGGCCCTTCATATACTGCTGGGAGCTCTCATGCGAGTGCGAAGCGGCCGGGTTCCTCATCTTCAGAGGAATTGCGAGAGGAGCTCAGACAAGAGTTCGAGGCCAGGATCGTGGAGCGTGATCGTCAGTTCCAGGAGCGTGATCGTCAGCTCCAGACGCAGCTTGACCAGCTCTTGGCAGCTGCTACGGCTCTGCGTCATGTGGTGGTCAGTATAGCTCCAAACATCTCGGTTCCTGACATCCCCGACCTACACAT